CATGCGATGCACCTAACCCCTGCGAGCATTCTCTTCGTTTTGCGGCGAAACTGCACTGTGATCGCACTTTGCAGCAAAACCGCATGCCCCTGCAGCAATTGAAGCATGCGACATGCACCGGTCTGCCAGGAGCCGAATCTGAAGACTTGCAAGAAGAGGGTTTAGGGTTTGGGATCGGGGATTAAGGGTAGGGTTTGGGGTCAAGGGTTTAGGGTAGGGTTTGGGGTCGGGGATTTAAAGTAGGTTTGGGGTCGGGGATTTAAAGTAGGTTTGGGGTCGGGGATTTAAAGTAGGTTTGGGGTCGGGGATTTAAAGTAGGTTTGGGGTCGGGGATTTAGGGTTCGTAAGGTTCGGGGAGCACTCGGATCGCTAGATGCATTGCTGTGATCAGTGCAATTTCTACAATGCAATCAAAGATAAGAGCCCACANNTCTATGGCACAATCGCATGAGGAAGCTCTGGGCTGCACAGCGGCAGCCAAGCAAGCTCCAGCCGTAGGCAGGGAGCTCAGCTCAAATCGCACCGGATCAGGAAAGGAAGTTATCTTTCATGGTGTGATATCCTGAAATGCACAATACACTCCTGCCCGATGCTGACCCCAATCAATTAAGATCTGTGCTTCAGCTGTGATGACAACCATGCACACTGCTTGGGAACCTTTAGCATGTATGAGGATTCTATCATCATGCAAGCACAAATCTTACTTCCCCCCAGCCATAGCCTTTCGAGGGCCTCGAGGCCGGTAATTAGGATTGTGACAGTTGCTGCAGCCCTTAAGGCTGTGCCTGCATTTGGGACACCCAAAATGTGGCCCAGGCGACTTCGCCGACTTGGCCCCCGCGTTTTTTCCTGCCCTGGCCTTTGCCTTAGCCTTGGCCACTGCTTTAGCTTTCGGCTGGGGCTTCTTGGGCTTTCCATCAGCTTTCTTAGCATCCTTCATTCCAGCTCCTTTTCCCGTTCCCTTGCCCTCAGAAATAGCAGCCTGCTTGGCCTTTCGTAGCTTCCTCTGCATCTCGGGGTTCACAGGAAGTGCCGGCTCCTGTTGACAGGGGTTTTTGCTAAAGTGGATTTGGAGAAACACAACGAGTTCGGGGGTTTATAGGACTTTAAGGGCTATATGGTTTCTATACTTACTGGTTCTAATGTTTATCTTTAGGGTTTAGGATGCTGCTGAATTGATCCAACATAGCTCCTTTGGAGAAACATTCATGCTCTCTGCAGTCTCACCCTTTCGGAGGGGTGTGGGTGCTGGGGACTCAGCGTCCAGGATGTTGATGGGCTGGGTGTCCACCTGCAAGCGATCAAGCTAAAGAGGACTATAGTTGACAGGTGTGCTGCATACTGTTCGTGCGAAGAGAAACATAATCTTTCAGAGGCCATGCACATGCTATTAAAGCAACGATACGATGCCTGGCTCGGGTCGGAGGTGCTGGCATTCGATCGTCGCGACTTCTTGGAGTTGGAGGCCAAACCTGAGTTGAGTTATGCTAAGTGGATAGCAGGATAGCACATACAAAGATCCACGATTGATCAGTCCAAGGGGCTCGATTTGGTCGAAGTCGCGGGTGATGTCGAGGGGGATGTCGATGGAGACTTTCGTTTCCCAGCCCTCATGCTACCAACTCACACGAATTGTTATAAAGCCCAGGGCGAGAACTGCTAGCCTGCATGCAACAAAGGGAATGATCAGTGTAAGGTTCGGGCTGGCTAAGCTTCAGGGCCTCGATCTTTCGCCGGACCTCGTCCAACTCTTTCTTTTCCGAGGATGTAGAAGAGCCCACAAACATGACCTCCTCGGAGTCCTCTGCTGTCTTTTCTTTCAGCCTCCTCACCGGCCCCCGTGGTGGGGGGGCTGCGTACTTTCCAGCCTTCTTCAAGACCGGCACCGTCTCTTTCTCTTTTTTTTCTTCTTCTTCTTCCACCATTGGATCATCCACTCGCTCTTCCTCTTCCTCTCCCTCCTCACATACCTCATTCTCCTCATCTTGCCTTCTCTCTTCTGCTTGTCTCTCTTTAATCATCTTACAGCAACCCTTGAGCTTTCGATCGGGCGGCGGCAATGAATCTCGAAGATGACGAATAAACTTGAAGAGCTTCTGCACAGCCTCGCCCTGGGTTGTGGCATGTTAATACACGAACGATGATGACATCTTGTATGCATGAATGAAGCAGTGCACTGCACGATTATTCGCGTCAAGAATCAGCTGGAGTTTGTTCTCGCTTGTAAACATCAGCTTCACGGCGGAGGGCATAGGAATAAAGTTTGCGAAGTCGCCAGGAGTCCTTGTAAAGCCGAGTAGCAGAGACCTCCCATTCCATGTCCGTGTAGAACTGTTCTACCTTGCATGCAGTGGGAACGAACAGCAACGAACAGCAACTCAACTTCCAAATGTGACAGCAGCCCATAAAATGCCAGCAAGTTGCTGTCTTGGAAAGGCGATCAATCGATACCATAGTCAGCTGCTCTAGGCTTTCGAACATGCATTGAACCATTGGACAGTTCAAAGTCAGGGTATGGGCACTGGCCTCAATTGCATCATCATCCTCATCGTTGTCCCATCTCAGCCAATCCATACCCTTGCTTTGGCGACTTTTGCTAAGCTTTAAATGCTTCCATGCCTTCCTCAGCCGATCGAACCGAATTTGGGCCATGGCGCCCGAGCAATGCCCCAGAAAACAAAAAGAAGGCCCCTGCTTTGGACCCAAGAATGCCAACGAATCGGATGCTTGCAGTGTGCTTGCACACATGTGAGCAGAACTCTCTCGAAGCAGCAGAATTATTGTAACCCCAATGTGCACAGGAAGATGCGAGCCTCCACGATCCGATGCGGAGGTAGCCAGCTCATCCGGCCTGTTTCGTTGGCAAAAGGCGGCTTTCTAATTTTGGGTGTGCTTCGGGGTCGGGTTGCTTCAGTTTCCCTGTTGTGGTGCCTTCACCACGACTCCATGTCGCCGCCCATAATCATCTCCGAGGGTCCTGCGAGTTGTGTTGTTGGAAGCTATGTGCCTATCGGTTTTATTTATTCTAAGTGGTATATTCACAAACTCATCGACATCTTAGAAGAGGATTATCACAAATTGTAATGCAGTTATATCACCTATGCAAAACCCGAAACTCAAAAAGATGCAAACCTCATCACAGCCAATACCTTNNAGCCCAATCCTTTACTCAAAGCAATCACAGTCCTTCCCCGACGACCAGCATCGCCAGGTCAAAGCGAGCCATCGGCGTGTGGCGAAAAAATCTCGAAAGCTTATTGGGTTTAAGGTTTAGGGTTTTAGGGTGTCTAGGGTAGTTCAGGGCTGGGTTTGAAGGCATTCGTGCGGCGGGGGAGGGCTTATGTTGCTGCTCTAGTTGGTACAGTTTGGGGATATCCCGGTTAGCCCTAGCTCAAGATGATCTTTTGTTCAAAGATCTATAGAAACATCAGTGCAATGCCAGAATGAAGCTATCTGTAGGTCATGACGATGTAGATAAGTACAATATTTCATGATTTGTAGGCTCTCGGAGCCTGCTGTTGCAGGAATCCAAACCGGTGGCCATAATTATTGCCACTCCCACACAAGCTATCAGTTGCAACATTTGTAGGCAACTTTGGCGTTGCAGGTAATTCCTAAACCCCTAAACCCTAAACCCTAAACACCAAGTGTTTCTGCGCCTGGCTACAGCGTGGAAGATTTGACTGGTGCTGGCTTTTGCCCGACCGCGCAAAGAGTTGAAAGAGCTCGAGGACTTTAGCCACAGGCCCCTAAGTAGTTCAGGGTTTAGGGTTTAGGATTGTTCCTTTTCATGGTTTATACTTGGAATCCTACAAGGTAATCCTAAAAACGGACTACTTAGGGCCTATGGGTAACTCGATGTATCACTTATCGCTGGATGCTCTCGCGGCGGAGGCACCCAGGGCAGGTGACTTGCTTCGGAAAGTCTGACCGACGGGCCACCAACTGGGTAATGTGCAGACCTCGGCATCTTCCGGAGAAGACGCTTGCGGGGCGCATGCAGCGCGTGGGGGGTGTAGCATTTAAGGTTCCGGAGGGTCCAGGTATCCAAGCAACTGGAACATAGGTGTGGGTTCTTGGGCTCTTTGGCGTACCTAAGCATAAAACTCGCTGACCCAAACATGAACTGCTGTAGGTATGGTATAGCGTGTGAGGTTCGGTTGGGGTCTAGGGTTGTGTTTTTGTGTTTGCCTTCATGACTCTTAGGGTTTAGGTCTCCGGGTTGCGGATTTAAGGTTTGGAGCTTTTGAGGGTGTCGGGCTGGTGTCATTGATGGTACTGCCATTTCGATCCTGTCATTGGGTTTCGTGAGGGGTTTGGTGTCGACCTCGTCCCTAGTGTAGTGCCCAAAAACTATCGATGTAGCCTAAAGTTCTCCAAGGATAATTTCGCTTGAACCGACAGTGTCGTGTTTAGGCGCGTGTGTACGAGTGGTCATGCAAGGCATCTCTCATTCACTGTTTCATTGAGCTTCGGGCTAGTTTACCAGTTTAGAGTTTATGGTTTTCTCGCATTCAAAGCATACGTGTAGAGCTACTCGTACTAGATGCAGCCAAAGCAGCGGCAAAATGGCAGTCAGACCTATTTGGCGAAGTTAATGGCACAACACGATGTGGGACTTTCCGAAAATTAGGGTACCTTGTTTGGGGGTCCTTATAATAAGGATCCTACTATTTAGGGTACTATATTAGGGTCCCCTACTTTCGGAAACCCCCATATCATTCTTGGTTTTGACTTGAAGTAAGACTGGGGAACTGTTACTTATGATCCCTAGAGACCTGTTACTTATGATCCCTAGAGACACGTCGACATTTTGAAATGCAAGGACCCCTATAATTCGAGGCAGCTCCCTCTGAGCATAGGCCAAATGCATACGACCACTATGATGGAGTTGGTTTAGGGTTTATACGGCTTTGTTAGGGTGGTTTAGGGTTTATGGAGTAGTGTCTGTTGCGGCCCAGCACCAATAATTACTGTGGTATGTCTGAGCATTCTGGACACATGACAGGCAGCGACGCGAAGCGGGCAGGTGGGCTTTGGGGGCGTGGGCTAAAATAACCCAGGAGCTGTCGGCATTTCTGAAGCCGGTATAAACCCTAAAACCCTAAACCCTAAACCCTGCAATCAAAAACTTCAAGACTCATCGTTTACGTCCATGTTGAGGTTCATGGCACCTCCGGAGTGTCCGGGGGGCTGGCTGTTCCTAAAATACCCCATAGGTAACCGTATAGAAGCCGAGGAACCTACAGAGGTTACCCCTAAACCCTAAACCCTCAACCCTAAACCCTAAACCCCAAACCCTAAACCCTAAACCCAACCCCTAAACCCCAAACCCGAACCCCAAATCCCAAACCCTAAACCGTACCGCTGCAATGTTCTGCACGGTTGAAATCCTGATCCGCGCAGCACTGAACTGGACCACAGTAAACCGGGTTGGGGTTTAAGGTCTAGTTAGTTTAGGGTTTGGGTTTTAGGGTTTAGGGCTTATAGGGCTTAGGGTTTGGGGTTTAAGGTTTTAGTTAGTTTTGATGGGTTTCGGGGTTGACTTCCTTCTCCGAGAGGAGGATCGCCTTGAGTGCGTGCAGATTTCGACCACGGGGTTCTAGGTAGCTACAAATTCCTAAGGGTCCATGTGCCCAACTAGATATACTTAGGCCTTAAAGTAGTCCCTATATGGGTACTTTAGGGGCAAAGTATACTGATATGGGTACATGGACCCTTAGGGAATTCTAGGTAGCTACAAAGACCCTATGAACCCAACATCCGAAGCCCCTAAACCCTACACCCTAGAAGAAGATCTCTATACCGGGTCCCTACACCCTAGAAGAAGATCTCTATATCGGGTCCCTACACCCTAGAAGAAGATCTCTATATTTGGGTCACACTAATTAGCCTCCGTTTGTGGCTTGTGATGGCCAAGATGGCCCAGAGTCCTATGACAACCACATTTAATTTCACGACACACGGCTTCGAAGTTACTAGTATCCGAGTACCCACGCTTCCCAAGTACCCAAATTCGAGGTGTTTGTGTTCATGATCTTGGTAGCGGTAGACTCAACAACCATCTAGTCAGGGCTTTGGCTTTCGGTGTTAGGGCTTGGATTTTAGACTTTAGTGGTTAGGGCTTACGGTTTGGTTTGAAGCACGAGAACCGCGAAGCATAATGTAGGGGCGCGAACAAGTGATCATGCTCTCCCCGTGTGGTTCGTGTAAGTGTAGAGTACATCAGGCAAGAGTGATGCGACCTTCATTGGCTCAACCGCCGTAGGATGTGGGAATCATCAGACCAGGCCGGACCCCCAAACCCTAAACCCGACACACCACGCCCGAAACACCCTGAACCCCTAAATTCCTAAACCCTAAACTCCTAAACTCAAAGCCCGAAACCCAAATCCACACCACCCCAGGCCCCAAAACTCCAGAACTTCTAAGCTACTAAGCCTAAACCCTAAACCCTA